GGCACTTACCTGGAACAGACAGTAGTTTTGTAGAATATGATTTTGGCTATTTCTCGTTAAGAAATATACTCCCTTTTTTCACACTAAGTGAGTGAAAAGTGGTCATATTTATACTAAAGTCAAGAAAATACTTAGAATTTGGGAGGTATTCTGTGCCTTAATATGAAGCCATAGCTTTAGGAGGAGCTGTTTGTCTAGAGAAGTGGCAGGAACAGGACAAAGATCAGGACCAGGAAGCAACCCACTAGCTCAGTGACAATAACTGATATCCCTCATATCACTAGAACTAGGGCTGCAAAAGATCGTTATGAGAATATATTCTTATAACAGACCAAGAGCTGGGTGTTAGCAGCTATTAGGGTGAGCAAAGAGAAAAAAAGAAAATAGCAAACAGTCTTCTCTTTAAAATGAGCATGCAAACAAAAATTCCAGAATATGCAAAGAAATCTAGAAAAGCTAACAACATCACTATTCAATTCATTACTAGTGGAAAAGCATAAACAAGAAAAAAGACAAGCCATACAAAGTGAGAAGAAATTTGCAAAACCAACCAAGAATTAGTAACCAAAATATAAAAATGACTCCTACAGATCAATAAGAAAAAGTCAAATAGCTAAGATGGGAAATGAGTAAACAACACAAAAAGACTATTCACAGAAGGAAGAAGCAAATAGCGAACAAATATATATAGAAACATTCCACCTCAATCAGGAAATGAAAATTAAAGCCATGGTAAAACACAGTCATATACACATTTTATTGGCAAAAGTTAGCAAGTCTGAGAAAACCAAGTGTGGCAAGGATGTGGAGAAATAAGAATTCTCATATACTACTGGTGGAAATGTGACTCAGAGTAGCTACTTTAGAAAGCAGTTTCAACACAGCAGTTTCAGAAATTTCTTGCACACTTACCAGGACATATGTACAAGAAAATTTATCACAATATTGTCTATATAGTGAAAAATGAGAAAATTGCTAAATATTCCTCTAAAGAATAGATAAATGCAATATATTATTTTCATATAACATAATACTTTCTACAGTGAAAATATATGAACCAAAGCAACTTGGATAAATCTCAAAAAATATTGCTTTGAGTAAAAGGTGGCGAGTGATTCATGTAGTACCATTTATACAAAGATTGGAAGCATGTAAAACAATACTATGTAACTTATGAATACATATATTTGTAAGAAATAAAAGTATTAAGACATTTATTGGAATGATAAACACAAATTCAAGATAGTAGTCTCTAAAGAGGGAGAGAAGGGAATGGAATTGGGAAGGGCAAAAAGGGAACGTTAACCATATCTGTTATGTTTTATTTCTTTAAAAATGAAAAATCTTCAATGGTAATTCAAAAATAAAAATAATTTAAAAAATGAAAAAGCTAAAGCAAAATAGCAAGGTATTTCACTCGAAGCTTCTATATTATTTTAAGATTTAACTACTATATGTTTTTTCTAAAAGGGTTCATCTTGGAGAACTGGACAGACAAAAATACGGTGTAAAGTTAAAAGTAGCATTTTGGGTTGATTTGTTTCCCAGATTCATTTCAAGTTCTGTTCTCCAGGTCAGAGAACTTTTTCATTATTTTACCCTTTTAGATATTGTACTCCTTCTCATGCATTTGGGGGAAATCCAAATGGTATAATCACTTACATTACAGCTAAAAGAAGCCCTTGGTGTTAATAATTATGGGAAGATTAAGGATTATGACTACCTAACAAAACCAAACCAAAACAAAAAACATTCAATGTTTCAGAGACATTAGAAAATTTTCACATTTTAATGGTGTAATTGACCTGATCATATCAGAGTTAATGTTTTTTTAGTGACTAAGTCAGGATTTTTCTGTAACTTCAGCTCTCTTTCTTCTCACTTACTATCAGAGTTTTCTTAAGAATATACACTCTTTTGATCTGTTATCTCCTTCACTCTTATACTATTTTCTACCCAGTCAGAAATTATAAAAGTGATCCTAAAACAGTCTGCACCTCAGGATCAGGTTCTGTGTGGCCCTAAGAGATGATCCTAAATGCTTAACTTCCAAACCCTCCCCCAACCATGTGTGTTATAAGAATAAACCAGAAAACTTAAGTCCTAATTTCAAGCAATAGTGAGAAAATGTTTAGACGTTTTGTTTGTTTGCTTTTGTAGTAAGGGGGCTTTACAGGAAGCAGAGTAGCCGGTAATGTGTCCCCAGAGTCATACACCTTCATAGAGTTATCAGCTTGCTGCCTCAAACTAATATCTTCCCCTTCTCCACTGACAATAGAAATATTATCCTGATTTTAGCCCTAAGAGTTCTCTGTCTCCTCTGCTCAGTTCTAGAATTGAGTTTACATACACTGGGCATTTAATAAGTGCCCATTCATGAGACCAAGGACATTGACCTTGGCCCAAATGGATTTTGTTGTTTCTAGTTCCAGCATTCTGATGGAAAGGACAGCAGTCTCTGTCCTTTGGAATAGGAGAAACTGGCCTGATCATATAACTGACCCCTTTCCATGGTACCAGCTAAATTCCTGTTGGGTATGACCTTGACGGCCCCATAATCATCATTATCTACAGGGAGCATATAGACATCTTTCTCAATGTAAAAAAAAAAATCAGAAAAACCATTATTTATAACATTGCAACTATTTTTACTTTTACCTGTCCCTAACCTTGGTTCTCTCCTGAATCACTGGCTGAGCTATGTAGGCTATGTACAGTCACACCTTTCTATCTGCATGCCCTCTATCATAGGCCACTCTTGGTTCCACTTGACCATCAATGGTTTGTTGCCTCCTCCACACTGGAAAACTGTTCATTTACTGAGCATTTGCTTTGTGCACTGTTCTACATAAATACTTTACAGATACTGTCTTTATCATTTTATATGCACAAAAATCTCAGGTACTATTGTTATTCCTATTTTACAGATGAGGCAGTAGAGGCACAGGATGATACTTTAATCTGTAAAAATTGTTTCATGGTATTTCTGTGAGGAGCAAAGATGAAATCTGTTTCAAAGAGCTTTGTAGTAAGTGACGTTAAGTGCACACATTTTACTGTTGTCTGCTTCAGAACAAGGCTTATGAATGTTTGTTGAATGCATGAGCAAATTATCACTGAGATGTACCATGTTTTGTGTAGGCAGAATCCTCAGAATAATGTAAAATGTAAACGTGCCAAGCGCTCTTGTCTGTAACTCACTAGTCACCCTCTCCAACGTATTCTAGTTTCCTTCTCCTCTAAATTTCAGAATCAAAATTGTCTGATTTAATATCTTTAAAAGGTCATGATGAATTATTCTGTAATATTTGAAATGTTATACTCAGAAAGGTCAAGCATTATTTTTTGGTGTGAAGTACCACATAGATATGTTTTTCCTGGGTGCTTTTCCTTTTTTCAAAGAAAAGATGGCAAGAGATTTAGAGCAGGGTGCCCTCTTGAGGAAATTTTAGTGCCTTCCATTTCAAAAGCTGACACCGCGTGAAATGAGAAGTCCAGATAAATGATGTTCACTACGAACGAGGCTCAGATACATGAAACATTAAAAAGTTAGAGTAACAAAATACCAGATATTTGAGAATTAGGATTCTCAATGGTTATGATCTAATGTAGCAACTGTAAATAAGAATTTTAAAATAGAAACAAAACCTCTACAAGATATTTACTTATTCACTCAGTCCTTCAAGTAATATTTATTAAGCACCTGTTTTGTGCCAGGAATTATGCCAAGCACAATGGTCACTAAAGCATAATCTCTGCCCTCATGTAGCTTACAGCTTGTGAGGGAGATCATAGTGAAGGGAAACAAATATATATGTCAGTACAGACTGAGAGAAGTAGTATGAATGAAATCAAAGGGTACTAGAATAAAGAACAAAGTAAGTTCTACTTAGGGCGCTCAAGGACAAGCCTCTGAGAGGAAGTAACGGAGCTGATTCAGTTTGCTTTTCAGTCCAGTCTAAGTCTGTCGGAAAAGTCATGATGTAGTTTTTCTATGTTTTTCATTGCAAAAAATGTGTCATGACTTTTCTGACAACCCAATAATACAGACAGTCCAATGGGCCCCTTTTCTAGCCTTGTTCTTTCTGATCTCTGTCCTAATCCTTGAGCTGAGTTGAGTCCTGTCTCTGCCCCTGTGGGCAAGCAGGCAACTCTGACTCCTCTTTGTTGTTCTAGCTGGTCCCCTTTGCCTTACAGCCTCAGAGTCTTCATAACTGCATGGGGGAGGGGGGAGCTGTGTAATTAACAGGTATCTTCATTACTAATATTGATAGCCCCCCACAGTAGAACATCAATGCATTAACATGCCAACAGGCCACATTTCCAACAAGGTTAAGGATGGAGAGGATCTCAGAAGATGCAAAGGACAGATAACCCTGCCCACTGTGCTTTGAACAGGGAGAGATAAATAGGCATGAAGTAGGCACAGAACTTGGTCACGCAACACAGTTTGGCCATGTTGAGTTTGAAATACCTGTGGTACTAAGCATATTGGAGGCTTATTTCACAAGGTTATTATATTTTGAATATAAATAATATGTGCTGTATTGGTCAGAATGTGCTGAAACTCATATATTTATTGCTACTACTGGGTAACAATTTAGTGAATACACCAAAAACCATAAAACGTACAGACTCCTTTGACCCAGTAATTTGGTTCCTGATAATTTATTCTTATGAAGAAGTAAGAAAACTATATGAAAAAAGATGTCTATTGTAGCATTCTCTATAAAGAAAATATTGGAAACAATATTAGAATGGTTAAATAAACTTTTTTGCTCTAACACAACAAAATATGCATACAGAAAGGGGTTGGAAGGAAACATGAAAAGATAAAGCAATTGATAGAATAGCAGAACTATAAGCATTTTTCCTTTTACGAATTTATCTGAATGTTATGACTCTAGTAGGATAATTAAAATACTTAAAACATTTTAAAATTAAAAACAAATTTGGCCCCAAACTAAATTTCTTCTTACCATCCCTTGTTTTTCATGTAGGGAAATTACCGTTTCATGAAACTCTTGCTAACGCGTAGAGCAAACTGGATGCAGAAGGACCTGGAAGAGATGACCCCTTTGCACTTGGCCACCCGGCACAAGAGCCCCAAGTGTTTGGCACTTCTGCTGAAGTTTATGGCACCAGGAGAAGTGGATACACAGGATAAAAACAAGGTAACAGGCCACCCAAATCAAAGACTAATAAGTGCAGGAAGCAAATGCTTCCTTTTCTGATGTGAAACCTCAAAGGAGAAGGTCTAAATTACCACTCATCCACATGGCAGGAGAGTTCAAAGTCTCCATACCCCGGTCAAGTATTTCGCTTAAATTCTGTCATTCAATCCTTCTAGCAACCGTGTGTGGTAGATAGTATAATCTCCTTTATACAGATGGGGAAACTGAAGCTCAGGAAGATGAAAATTCTATCCAAGATCAAGCGGCAGGACTAGAATTTAACCCAGGCCTCTCTAACCCCCAAACCCATTATTAGATAGCCAGTCACGATTGTGACCATGGGGCTTAGATTGCGGTTGCCAGCGCCCGGAGCAGTGTACTAAGCGTGTAGTTGTTGAATGGCCTGGGCTTTAGCATCAGACCTCTCGAGTTTCAATCTAGAAGTCGCCACTTACTTGTTCTGTGTCCTTGGGCAAATACTCTTCTATGCCTCAATTTTCTCATATATTAAAAGGGGATAATACCATGTTTCCCCAAAAATAAGACGTACCCAGAAAATAAGCCCTAGCATGATTTTTCAGGATGCTTGTAATATAAGCCCTACCTCAAAAATAAACTCCAGTTAAGACCATCAGCCAGACATGACTGTTTGAATAAATGTAGATTTTTGTACATGAATAAATGAATAAATGTAGATTGTTGGAGCAAAAATTAATGTAAGACCCAGTCTTATTTTCAGGGAAAAATGGTAGATGTTGAAGAGAAAATGAGATAATATAATATATAAAGTGTTTGGCACATAATTTATATATATATATAAAGTATCTAGCACAATGCCCAGTGCAGACTATGCTCTCAACAAATGTTAGCTATTAAATAATTAGCATTAGTTTCATTTTGGTTCTAACACCTGCTCTGGCATTTGTTGCTAAGATCTGCTATCTTCTCCGCCCTTGAATGTTTACATATTGTACACATTGGTCATTGTTTTGATTGACTGGTTATTGCTCTGATAATTCTTTACAGGGAAGAAAAAACGTGGTCTTTAGTTAAACAAGTGCAACACAATAATCCTCTTCATTTCCACCAGGCACTTAATCATAGAGTCTTGCTAACTCTAACATTCCCATGTAATTAAAACTGTTATGACTAAATCCACTAGGTTTATATTCAATAATCCTTTCATTCTCATAGTGTTCTTTATGTAGTTTTCAGATTTTGTTTAGGAGTCAGTCACATGACCCAGAGTTCTGTAATCAACTTTCTTTTACAACTTCTGTAAACTAGCGTTCCTAACTCACAGCATTTCTAGTGCTGGTATTTCACTGAAAAGAGCACCTCGATAAATCCACGAAGACCCATTAATCATTTAAAAAGCTGTGAATGTCTTTGGGCTTTATAATGTCTTCCCCAAATATTCTGGAAACTTCCTACTGTCTTTCAGCATTTGTGTATTCTGCTGTGCTGAATGGGGAGAGGTTGTCCGGTCAGACGGGTGGGAAATGGATCTACACAGTCCGTACAGGACAGATAAGCGAGCAGCCAAAACGCCCGGAGCAGTGGTGCTCAAAGCATCTGAGGGGAAGGACCAGCTTGTGTGCTTTTCCATTTCCAGTCTGTCGCAGACCAATAATTTTATGACATACACTAAAAATGAGCAACAACAACAAAAAAGAAAAACCCAATTAAAAAGTGAATCAAGAACTTAAATAGACATTTCTCCAAAGAAGATACACAAACAGCCAACAAGCATATGACAAAATGTTCAGCATCAGCATCACTAATCATTAAGGAAATACAAATCAAAACCACAATGACATAGTACCTCACACCCTTTTGGATGCTACTATCACACACACACACACACACATACAAAATAACAAGTGTTTGTGAGGAAAACAAGAAATCTGAACCCTTTTGCAATGCTGGTAGGAATGTAAAGTCATGCAGCCACTGTGAAAAACAGTATGGTAGTTCCTCAAAAAAAAATTAAACATAGAATTACCATATGATCCGGTAATTCCCTTTCTGGGTATACACCCAAAAGAATTTCAGGAACTAGGACAGATATTTGTACATGCATGTTCATAGCAACATTACTCACAATAGTCAAAAAAGTGGAAACAACCCAAATGTCCCTTGACAGATGGCTGGATAAATAAAATGCAGTTTATA